ACACAGTACTCCAGCTGCGGCCTCACTAAGGCCGAGTACAGGGGGAGAATGACATCCCGGGATTTGCTTGAGAAGCATCCATGGATGCAAGCCAGCGTTTTGGTCACTTTAACCTTGCATTTATCGGCGTTGAACATCATCAGATTCTCGTCCGCCCACTTGCTGAGCCTGTCCAGGTCAGCCTGGATAACCTGCCTGTCCTCTGGTGTGGATGCTTTGCCCCAAAGTTTGGTGTCATCGGCAAACTTGGCCAGTCCGCTTCTGACTCCAGTGTCCACATCATTAATGAAGTTGTTGAACAGTATGGGTCCAAGGACAGAGCCTTGGGGGACCCCACTGGTCACAGGACACCACGATGAGTGACTTCCATCGATTACTACCCTCTGGGTCCGACCACGGAGCCAATTTTCCAGCCAGTGGATCGTGGAGGACCCAAGGCAACAATTGGCCAGTTTCTCCAAGAGGCGATCATGGGACACCAGATCGAAGGCTTTTTTGAAGTCAAGATATATGACATCAATCTCTTCTCCCTTGTCCAGGTGATAGGTCACCTGGTCGTAGAAGGAAATGAGATTGGTCAAGCAAGACCTACCCGCAACAAACCCGTCCTGGCTATCCCTTAAGATGTTGGCGTCGGCCAGTCCATTAAGGATGGCTCTTTAATAAACTTTTCTAAGATCTTCCCCGGGATAGAAGTCAGGCTGATGGGCCTATAGTTAGCCGGATCCACTTTCCTCCCTTTCTTGAAGATAGGCACCACATTGGCCTTCTTCCAGTCTTCGGGCACTACACCAGAGCGCCAAGAGTTTTCAAAGATCAGGACCTTCATTAAATTTCGTGGAGGAGTGAAATGAATGTACACTGCAGGAAAGATCTGGGGGTTACAGAAGATAAGGTGAACAGGAGTCATGTTTTTGCAAAAAAGTCAACAACTTACTCGACTCTAAAAAGCAGGTGGGACTTATACAAGTCATGGAAAGAGATTCTTCCACTCTAAATCAACCCTAGTGAGGCCTCACCCAGAAAGATGAGCCCAGGTTTTGGCACCACACTTTAAGAAAAAGATGTAGAAAAACTGGAAAGTATCCACAGAGTAACAAAATTATTAGGTTTAAAAAGTATGACACAAGAAGAAAAAATTAATAATTGGGATTATACAAGTCTAGGGAAGAGAAGATGCGACTTCCTTATCTAGACTATGAGGGTGATTAATCATTGAAACAGGCTACCTAAAAAATTGTGGAATTGCATCCTTGCAAGTTTTCATGATGAGGTGATTTAGTGAGGAACAATCCTGCTTTGATCTGGGGGTTAGAATAGATGATCTTATAAAGTCCATTCCAGCCTTTCTTTCCTCTGAGCCTAGATGCCTCAAGGCATGGGACACAGTATGTTTTTAAGAGTGCCTCCAACAGGCAACCTGAGACCTTACACCCATTCATGCAACAAAATAAATAATTACAAATATCATATCTTTACTGAAGGACCACATTCTGTAGTCATTTTTTCCTCCATTCTAGGTTTGAAATAGTTTGCGAGCTGGGACACAGCATTTTTAGTATTTCGCAAGACAGAGCCTGGTACAAAAGGGCTCTAATCCTTAACTGAAGTTGTTAGGTATTAATGCAATACAAATAATGAATAATGATGCATCATTAGTAATAAAAATAGAGGCAAAGGGCTGGCTGAGACTGCAAGCCTTTTTATAAGGTAATTTGGGGTTTTGTTCTTGTTTCTAAGTAGAATATTAACTTTACAGTAATCCAGTAAGCTAAAAAGAATCAAACTATTTCCTTTTGTCTGTTATGACTAAGATTTAGATATAATGCATGCTCAGGAAAAGCACTTAGTCTGATCAAATTACTTTTCATCAATATTGCCCTAGGAATCATAGTCAGACTTTAAAGATTTTACACTTGTTAAATATTTCAGTGCATTTAATATTACTCAAAAGGCTGAAAATTACTCAAGCAAGCTATGATGCTTTAAGATGGAGTACTCAAATGTCAGATTTCATTATGCTTGTACATAACTTCATTTTTCCCCCCAACTAAAGTCAAAAAATCCATCTTATATTGGCAAACAACAATATACATTTTCTTGCAAGCAGTATAATCTGTTATTCCTTAACCAGGAACTACAGAAATCTTTACTCAGGTTTTTCCTATTTTGGTTTTCATCCTGGTCAAAATCTCTCATAAATAAGCTTCACGCTCCCTTATCTTTTTAACCAAGTGTGGACCAGCAGTGAACAAATAAGCCTGCAACACATCAAGACAAAAATGCAGTCCATTTGATTGCAAAGTTGAGCCAACAAAACTACTGGCTTGGAATTAAGGTAAAAAAGAAAAATCTTGAAAATCATAAACAAACTGGTTTCTGAATATTAGTATGTCCAAGGAGCTCAACAGCCATAGTTCTTCACTGAGCCCATTCAACGAGTTACGCATTTCTACATCACACAGTACTTTAAATTAGAGGTGCACGGATATATCAGTTGCCTATCGGATTGGCACTGATAAAAGGGAAATGACATTATCAGTTATTGACTTTTTTTGCCCACTGTAACCAATAATGTTTACCGATAATCATGCCTTCTGGCCATGGGCCTGGACACCTGGGTTCCCTCTCCTCTGAGGCCCGTGGCCCCAGGTTCCTGGGGTCCCTTGGGAAACAGCAGGTTTCCTCTTGCAGGTGGGCAACGTTCTAACCTGTAAGGGGTCCTGCCTGGGGCTGCCAGGAATGAGATGCAGGGGCACTGCGTGCACGTGCACAGCTGAGCCCATGCATGTGGCCAGGAATACAGCAGTGCAGCATGGGAGGGGGAACAGGGGGGGGGGGGGGGGGCGGACCATGGCCTCTGTGGTGAGGGAGGGAGTGGGGCAGGGGATGAGGGCACTACCCAGCCAGGACGGTGCATGGGACCCGGGGCTGGAACAGGGAGCAGAACCGAGCCACAGGCAGCTCTTCCAGGGGGCAGCTTCCCCCTGCTATGTGCACCCCCAGGTGGAGGCATGGGGGAGAGGGGCATGTGCCACCTGAGATTTCTGCGCAGGGTGGAAGCAGGCTGTCCACTGTAGGGTCAGGGCTCTCCATTCTGCTGCCTTTCCCTCAGGAGCTCTGCACTGGCCACGTGCACCCTGCCTGCCCAGCAGCAGCCCCCAGCTGCCAGGCAAGCAGCGGCACACGGGCAATGTGGAGTTCCCAGTACAAAGGCAGCAAGGCAGAGAGTCCCAAGCCCACAGCAGGCAGCCTGCCTCTGCCCTGCTTAAAAGCATCCCATACTTAAAAATGGTGGTAGTGACAACTGAACTTCAGCTCATTCAACAAGATTAAGTTCAAGTGCCAACCCCACCACACACACATAATTTTAAAGTGCCAGAACGCCGATGCATGCAATGCAGCAGGCTGCTGGAGGACGCAAAAAAAAAAAAGCTTATGCCAATACTTTAAAATGCCCCGAGTTATTACTAAATATCAGTTATCAGATCAGCATCAGCCAATATGTTTGCTTAATCATCGGCTATCAGTATCAGCCAAGAAAATCTCTATCAGTGCACCCCTACTTTAAATATAATTATAACCTCTTAAATACAGTTCATTTAGCAACAAAACAGAACTCCAACCCCTGCTGTACATTTCTGAAGAAATATGACCACCTCGTCTAAATGGATGGCTTTTGTTTTTAAAACTGAAAATGTACAAGAAAGCTAATACAAGTTTGCCCAAGCTTGCAAACTATTCAGAAGTATGTTGCTTCCCCCACACAAGGAGGAGCCAAATATAGAACCAACTCATATGCACCTCAAGATTAGGCCTCTGCGATTCCTTTCAAGTTCTATGCTCCAATCACCCACCCCCAATCACCCACCCCTTCATATTTCACAGTTTCCTAAGCACAAGGCTCTCTTCATTCAACACACCAAATTTAGTTTGTTCTTTAACTGCATATAATGATAATGATGAGCAACACCAACAAGAACTTCCGGGTTTACAAAAGCACTTTAATGCTATAGTAGACAAAGTTCTTTGAGTAAATGTGATATCTTTTATTAGACCAACTAAATAGCTGGAAAAATTGTTCCTTGCAATTTTTTGGGTACAAACACCCTTCTTCAGGCAGAGGGAGAGTCTATGGTGAAGCATATCACTACAAAGACCTAGAAGAGGTAGGGGGATAACTTCAAAGAAAACCTAGTTAATGCATTTCTGTGGCGTGCTCTTTTCATATCGACATTATATAACAAAAATGACATCCTTTTCACAAAATTAGATTTTTTGGATTGAAGAAGAGGACTAAGGTCCTACTCTATAGTCTACAGGGGTCAATGGAAATGTCTCGTATGGACTTCAAAGGACACTGACTACACCCTGGCAGCTGATCCAGTGTGCAAAATCAAGCACTTCACCTCATCGTGTCATAATTTCTCTTTCTGTTAAATTTAACAGACTACTTCATAACAGGAGCATTTGTGAAATTTAATATTTGTAATGCATTCAGTTCAATATAATATAGTTGCTACATTCTACGGCTTCAAATCTTACCTCAAGGCCCATACCTGCCATAGTGTCTAACCTTTAACCTCATTTATTTTGTATGTTTTTAAGAAAATACTTAAAATACTAGTTGTGAACTAAAAACCCAAGTCTATAACAATCACCTGAAATTAACACTTTATTGTCAAGGTCCTTGGAAGATAAAAAAAAAAAAAAGTAAATTAAAAGTTATAATACCATAAAACCTGTTAAAACATAAAACATTCTTAGAATGTTTTTACTTTCTAAGAAGAGATTCATCATCATGAAACAGTAACACACAAATGGCCAGCACACTTTGTCCTTCAAGGCTTGCCTAACCTTTCTCCCAACTATACTATCTGGTCCAATAAAAGATTCCAAAACGTTCCAAACCTACTATATAGTAATGTATAAAATGCACCCTATTTTTCTCTCTCTCTTTCCCCTACCCGCTCTTCTGTCCCCAGGAAGTACACACATACCTGCAACAGCTCCATGCAAGCCATGATCACCAGATGCTGATTGCTGCTGAGAGGATGGTTTTGCACCGGGTGAAGATGTCTCCTTCATACGATCGATGACAGACTCAGAGATCTGAAAACATAAAACTCAGTTACATAAAGCAAGCTGCAAAAAAAGAAGTGAGCCAGCATAAAAATCATAGAATAAAAAGCAATATCACCTAATTCTATCTCTTTGGTCAAGTTTTAACAGGTTTTACTTCCCTACCTTTTCTCCCCAGGCAAAACCAGTTCCTTCTGGTTAGAGTGAATTAGGTTAATTTGCAGCTTAGTGTATATCATGGACAAAAAGCAGGAGTGAATTGTTCAGGAGAATTTTTTAAAAATCTAGGGACAAAGGAAATATAAACAACAAGTACTATGCCTTTTACATGTTGCTCATATGCTTTCTTCCCATCCTTGTCTCAGTCATTTGGATCATAATCAAGTAGAACACTTTGCAGGAGCACTGGGTATAGCCAAGACAGCCTTGGCCCCAACTGATTATGGCAATACAAGTGACAATAGTAGTCAACACATGCTCTAACCTCAGCATTGCACAGAATTCTCACAAATGTTGGTAGCTTCAGAAATATTTGACCAAAGTTGGAGAGGAAAGTATGCCAGGCTTCAGGCATAAATGAGCCCACCAAAAATACAATCCATATTATCCCCGTATTAATCATCATGTTTTTATTTCAGCATCTTGCTGTACCTCACTCTCACTCTCCTTTTAAGAAAAGCAAAATAAAACAAATAAGATTCCCTACTTTATCTGTTGGCCTCATTCTCAAATGGAAAAAAAAAAAAATAACTGATTTGACACAGCTTCAACCTAATAAAGCAACAATAAATTAGGAAGGTAAATCTAAAGAGGCTTTATTTGTCCAAATTCTTTTTGGGTGACACTGCTAAAACATTGAACAAATGTATACATGTTACATATATATGTTCAACATGTTACTTGTTCGTTCTGTACTTACCAGCATGGTATTTGTCTCAGGCCTTCAAACCTTTTAGTAAACAGTTCCAGCTTTCATGGTGTTATCTGTCTATATACTAGGGGGGACCAGCGGGAAATGGGAGAGACCTTGTTCCCCTGAGTGCCTCCCGGAGTAACAAGGAATAACGGCCATAAGTTGTTAGAGAGTAGGTTCAGACTAGACATCAGGAGGCGCTACTTCACAGTCAGGGCGGCTAGGATCTGGAACCAACTTCCAAGGGAAGTGGTGCTGGCTCCTACCTTGAGGGTCTTTAAGAGAAGGCTTGATGATTACCTAACTGGGGTCATTTGAGCCCAGTTTTCTCTCCTGCTCAGGGCAGGGGGTCAGACTCGAAGATATGCAAGGTCCCGTCCAACCCTACTTCTATGAATCTATGACCCTGCATGCATATAGTTAAGCACCTCATACAGGGTGCACATGGGTTTAAGTAAACCTCCCTTAAACTTCACATTATGTATACATACATATACATGTGTGTGTGTCTGTGTGCACGTCTGAATACACACACCATATTATATATGTGTGTCTACACACATAATATGCAGTTTAAAAACTATTCCACCTACTTTATATATTAGAGGTCCACTGATACACGGGTGCCATATCAGATCGGCACTGATAAAAGGAAAACTGACATTATCGGCAATCGGCTTTTGCGGCTGATGCGGCCGATAAGGTTGCCGACAAACGCCGCGTGCACGCACACAGCCGCAGTGCAAGCACGCGGGCAGCCAGGAGCACAGCCCGGCAGTGTGAAAAGCAGCATCCGGCTGGTAAGTCTGTTGCGGCGGCAGACTGAGGCACCTGCAGTGAGGGAGGAGCGGGTCTGTTGCCGCGGCTGGGGCAGGCGCTGCACCGGAGCATGAGACGGAGCCGTGAGGGGGGCTCCCACTGCTACACACATGCCAGGACAACATGGAGGTCACATGCCCCCCACATCTGTGCGCGTGGGGAGGGCAGGCTGCCACTGCAGGCTGTGGATGGGGGCTCTTCCCAGTGTGGGGAGGCTGGGCTGCGCTGGGGGCAGGAGGCAGCAGCGCTGGGAGGGACGTGGGGGCTAGAGCCACCCCAAAATCCACTATAGCCCCGCTCCCCATGCTGCTGAGGCCCACCCCAAGCACAGCCCGGCTCAACCCAGCGCAGTCAAGGCGTGCACGCAAGAGGGCAGAGAAAGCGCTTCAAGGACATCCACATCCTACCATCCCCCAGCACCGTCCCAAACGGAGGAAGAGCTGCTGCAACAACCACTACATTTTGAACCTGACCACGGCAACCAGAGGTGGAAAATGGGAACGTGTCGCGGACTGAACCACGAGCCCGCCACGTGCACGTGTCTGTATATGCACACGTGTGTCTGTCTATATGCCTATGCGCGTGCACGCTGCGCACCCTTCAAACACATGGATCTGAAGGGGGTGTGTATACACACACACGCATGCATTTGCCCGTGTGAGCGTTTGCGTGGACACACCATGATCAGCAATCCCTCAGAGGCCAGGATGGTTGTGGTTGTTCTCTCCTGCCCTGTCCAGGGCGGACTGGGGGGGAGGGGGTAACTCGATAGACAGATACATAGATACACACGCGCCCTAGAGAGGACATTAGAGAAACACGTGCGTGCAACGTCTGTGTGAGCACGCACACGTGAGCTCACCCGCACGCCCTTCACCACCGTGACGTGATCATTCTCGTCCACCTCGAAGCTGACGCGCCGCCCGGTGCTGCCCCCGCCGCCCATGGCGCCC